TCCCGCTGGCCCACCCAACCTCGGACCCAGCTGATCGAGATCATGCACAACAACAAGATGCCGGTCGACGACGAGACGTGGAGCCGCGTGGAGGAGCACCTCTCGTTCTCGTACTTCACGCCGAGAAGTTTCCGGTCCTCAAGCGACGGCAAGGGCGGCGCACAGTGAGGGTGGGCGGCGGGCGGCCGTGCACGTGGTGGTCCCCCTGCCCGAAAATGCCAACAACAGGCCCGAACAATCGTGCGGGCGAGCCCGCCGCATGCTGTCCTGTTTGGCTCCGCGGATTGCACCTGTCGTCTCTTCACTGCGAATTTGCTGCAGGCGCTCGGGCGCCGCGCGCGGCGCGTCGCCGGAGCGCGCCTGGCTGGGTCCCTAAATTGACGCGCCCGTGCCTTGCCATCATCCTCCCCCCCTATCCTTGACATGCTTCCTTTGGTTCCCCATCCCCTGTATGATGCTTTGTCATGTGCCCCGTTGATACCACAGCCCGAGCCTTTCTCCCAGCACCCCGCGCCACTGCGCCGTGGGCTGCGGCGCCGCGTCCGTTGGGCGCGAGGCGCGCGGTCGGCCGCAGGGACGCGACGCCTTCGAGGGCGTTTGAAGTCGCAGCCATGACGCGTGGACGTGGTGCGGTGTCAAAATTTTGGTTGAGGGCGTTCCCAGCACTCTCATTGCGTTGCCACGCCACGCCTCGCCGCCCCCCCCCCCCACGTGGAACTTGGTCACGCATTTATGTACACTGCACCCCTGGTGCCGTTCGCCGTGCCCTCCGTCTTGCGTATGCCGTCACACCTTGGCTCTGCTCCAAAGCCTCGCTTCCGCCGGCGCTCCCGGGCCCCCAAAAACGCGCCAAGGCGGGGGCGGGGGCATGCATGCAGCTGGAAGCTGCAGTGCCACGCCGCCCCCTGGCCAGGATAAGCCTCCCGGTGGACCCCCAGGCGGCCGTGGACGCCACCCCAACATCCTGCCGCTTCGCGCACAAACAGATACCCTCGCAACTCTCCAGCCCGTGCGCAGCCCCCGCGGCCTCTGCCGGGGACGGACGGACGGACGCCGCACATTTTTCCGCCGCCGCCGCCGCCCGCGCCGGGCGCGTACGCACCGGCGCCCAACCTTGAACGCGCGCCGCCGCTTGACAGTACCCGGGCAGCCTTTGGGCCGCAAGCTGTGTCCAACTCGCTTTGGTCGGATGTGCGCAAGCATCACTCTCTGCGCTGGCGGCAGTTGTAAAACCCTGAGCTGGATTTAAAATGCATCTGCTGCTTTGCGAGTGGCGAGCTGTCATGACGCATCAAATCCTGTCCAGGCAGCGAGCCCAATTATCAAGCAGCTGCATGCAACGAGAGAGTTTACTGTTGCTTCCGGTCCGCAGTCATAGTTTCATGCAACTGCAACTTCATTGTGTACGTTTGTGCACTCTTTCGGCGAAGGGCGGTGCATGTGTTTGTTATGACAGGACAGAGGAGGCAGCAAGGAAGCACGGCAACAGTAGCGACCTCAACAATGCCAGTGCGTGCAGAATGCCACTGGCGCACGTCTCGACGTATGCACGATGCGCCTGGAGGGCGCACAGCTGCCAATTTTGATGACGCATGCGCTCAGTGTTTGCGGCAGCAACGCGCAGCGCCTTTCGGCGCGCATGGACAAAGGCAGGCATTGCGGGCGCCCCACGTGCCGGACCGCGCCATGACCCACACGAACAGCAATCAAAGCACGTCAACGAGTTTTTGCAGTGGTTTGCTGCAGTGCTTGGTTGCAGGTCGCTTTCGTTCCGCCCTGCAGTCACCACACCAAAACCTCTGGCCGTGCGCGGGCTGCAGGTCGCCAGCCGCCGATGGCGCACGGCACCAAAAGCGGCCCTGGCCACGCCGTCAGGCTCAGACAGGCGTAGCGCCCCTACGCTCGGCCGACATTGGCACTCTCAACTGCAGCGTGCCGCGCCCTTCGAACCCCCCATTCGCAACGCAGGGAGGCGCTGGCATCAGTGTCTAACGGCTAACCACCGGGGCGCTGCAGGGTGACGCTTTCGACCTCTGCCCTTCAATCTATGCCCGTGAAAAAAACGGCGCCGCCATCCACAGGCCCCGCGCACAACCTTGCCGAGAGGCGCCCTCTCGGCTACCGCCCGAGCCCGCGCCCTGAAGCTGCCGCGCAGCTGCCTCGCAGCCGCCGCGGCCGCTCAGCCGAGAAGAGGGTCGTGCAGCGCGCCGCCGCCGCCCTCCTCCAGGCTCTCCCCTGCTGGCGCCGCCGCGGCGGCGGTGTCTGTGGCCTCGGCCGCAAGCGCGGCGGTCTTGCCGCGCCGCGCAGCCGCGCCGCCGCGCGTCCTGGGCTCGTCGCACGAGGGGTCGAAGGGGCTGCGGCGCGCGTGTGGGTGTGGAGAGGCAGGCGAGCGGTCAATCGGTTACGTCACGCGACCCGGGGTGACGCCTGGTTGCGCGTGTCGCTGCGAGCACCACCGCCGCCACCATCTGATTGAGCTGGGTGCGCCTGATGCGCGGCCGCACACAGCGTGCAAAGCATGGCTGCATGGCTCAGCCGAACCCAACAAATATGCATGCCGGTCGTGCAGGCTAATCAATTCCCAATGTCCACGCACCTGGGGTAGTTGAGGTGGTAGGCAAACGCGCCGCTCGCCAGGCCGAGCGCCATGCCTGGGGGCCGGGGGGTCAGGGAGGCCGCAAACTTGGGGTCGATACTCTTGTCATAAGTCATAAGCACACAAGATTATGAATACGAATTCAATGCTCTGGGTAGTGGCGCAGCTGAGATGAGACACAATACCAACTCGCCTGCCCCCATGCGACACCGATGGACGTCGCATGCATGGCGATCGCGCTGCGCAGCACCCCCAGCGTGCAAGCGCCGCCGCAGGTCTGTTGCGCTCCTGATTGCCGCCGCCTCGCTCAGGCGTCAGGCCGCCTCGCCGTCGCCGCTGAGTCAGCACTGCAAGATTCCGCGGAATGCACGTGTTGACTGGAACATCTTGAAGATAGTTTATCTGGTGGTTTGCTCACCGCAGTTGACGTCTGAAAAGTCGTGCTTGTAGCCGGCCACACGGCTCATGGTGATGAAGGTGGCCAGGCCCAGCGGCAGCAGGCACAGCACGGCCTTTGCAAAGTGGCCCTGGGCGCCGCGGGGATGGGCGGCAGGCGGGCCGGCCGGGGGAGGGAATGGGTTTGTCGGAGAAAGGGACATTCATGTGGGTGTTGGAAGAAAAGCGGAAAGGCTTTGATCAAACCAGGCAGCAGGGGTGCTGGTGCTTGCCTCCTGCCCACGCCAATGGCTCCGCCGACTCTCCGGCCATTGGCAGAGGTAAAACCGCATTAACAAGCTGATACTTTCGAGCTGCAACAGCTGCTCCCCAAAGAGTGGTGATGGAGTCGTGGCGCCTGCAAAGCCCTGTGAGGCCCCTGTACAACCAGAGAGGTCGGCCCCCGTCCACCGACGCGCACCGGCCCGGCGGAGGTGAACAGGCGGGCCTTGGCGCACAGGTAGAGCGATGTGACCGTGAACACGGCAAACATCTCTGCGGCGTGGCCCGAAGGGTAGGAGGTGCGGCCATCCTCTATCGTTTGGGGGTCGTGGGTGGACAGGCGCGCAAACCTGGGGGCGGCGGTCGGTGAGGTGTAGATTGGCGGTTGATTGGTGGGTCCGTGGGTGGGTTGGTTGGTTGGTTGACTGGTTGACTGGTTGACTGGTTGACTGGTTGACTGGTTGACTGGTTGACTGGTTGACTGGTTGACTGGTTGACTGGTTGACTGCTTGGTTGGATGGTTGGTTGAAAAGGTTGTTTGGTTTAGTTGTTATTCGTTCGGCTTGCTTTTATGTGATTGCTTGCTTAATTACTTTGGTTGGTTGGTTGGTTGTTTGGTCGGTTGGTTAGTTGGTTGGTTGGTTGATCTCTGTGTTCGGGACTGGCCGTGTTTCGGAATTTATGTTGCAGGGGTGCTGCAGGCGTCATAAACACCACACCAACCCCGCAGCTTCCCTTCTGCCGAGCCGCAGCAGATCGGGCGCGGCTCCTGCACGCCAGCCCGGAGCCCGGCGGCGGTGGCTGAAGCTGCCAGGCCAAGGCCTGGGCCGTTTTGGCCTGGACTGCGGGGGAGTAGACTGCACGCGCGCGAGCTCACCAGTCCGGCCTGAGCCGCCCGACCAGGTTCATCCACTTTTTAAAGCTGCACTCGACTGCAAAGGCCTCCAGCACAGATAACATGAGGTGGTGCCTGGTGTGTGTGTGTG